CATTTTGTTGCCAACAACCAGGGTAAAGGGTAAAGGGTAAGGTCTTACATAATTAGACTCATTGTTATGGTTTTTGACCCTCTTAGTCCTGGATGTATCCCCCCCCCAACATAAGCCATCTCGTAGATGCTTGTGGCAACTCGAGCGCCAAGGGGGGGGCGACACTGCCGGCAGCGAGGGCCCCTCTTGCCATGGCCCCAATTGTTCATTTCGGACCCTTGATCTTGGTGGTCTACAATCCTCATAAGGTACACGCGGAACTATACTTGACACAGAGTGCATGGCACCTCATCGCCCATTACAGTGCAAATGATCATCATCACCGTTACAGAACGGAAATGCACAACCTTTATTACAAAAGGATCACGCAAGAAAAGACCATGGGCATTGGCCATCAAGAAGTAAAACAAAAACAAAATAGAAGACGACACCAACAATAGATGAATCCATAAGGGCATCATCGTGATAATCTGACAACCCTGAACTTGGAGATCGATCTGAAAGGATGAAGAGTTGATGAAGTTGAACTTTGAACACGGAAATCGATCAAATGCCATGAGTGTTACAGATGTGACCATACCCGCGCACAGATATTTGCACTGAACCCCCGTCAGGTGCAGTCGGACAAAAAAAATAAGTCGAGAAAAGGAAGCCACCTCTAAGCGTGAGTATGTGCACCCATTATTGTCATCAATCATCTTGAAATTCTGCATGTTTTGTCTGACAGCCAGACGCTGGGTCTTGCTCCTCTACTCTCTACAACACAATATTCTACAATTTCGTATAGTTTTCCATCGCTCCACTAACCTCCACGAACAATGTCGTAATAAATAAATGAATAAAAAATTCTCTTGTATAGCTGAGCTGTCAACAAAAAAANAAAAAAAAAAAAAAAAAAAAAAAAAAAAAGAGGGAAAGACATCCTGTAGGAATATGAAAAGCAATCTCCACTGTCATAAAGTTCCGAGCCTGCAAAATCCGTTACTCATGGAGTCCTCCGTCGAGCTCACGATTTGCTCCCAAATTTCCGCCTCCAGTGTGGCCGACGAAATGCTGTTGACGGCGAGTCTCCTACTGCTGTCACCCTGTCTTCTTCTGCCGTCACAAATTGGGGAGCCCTTGGATAGCTGGAGTTGTAGAATAAGTGGGGCAACAATGCACTTTCCACCATTTTGTGCAGTCTACATAAACCCTATATAACTTTCGTATAGTCTGACGACTATACAAACACTGTACACATTTTGGTATACTTGTGGACAATAGTGGAGTGAGACCCATTCAATTCAATCTACACAACCAAAGGTCTGATCTTCCATCAGGCCTCGAACGAATATTGACCTCCATGAGCACATTCCATGTTACATTTGTATGTAGTTATGATAACCGTAGATAAACCTTGTAACCTTGCAAGTGCTCGGGCAATGTCACAAGCATTCTTCATCCCCCCCCTCCTCCCCCCCCTCCCCCCGCGCCCACTCCTTCCGCAAACTTAACCCTTCTTAATACACTTGCAAGTGCTCGTATTCTGTTGGGCAAGAACCAAACTACCAGCTTCCCCCGACCACGACGCAGACTGATTATGAATGCACACAACCTATCTTTTCGAGCCGATACAGTTGTAACGAGTGTGCATTGTATTATGAGCAAGCAAGACAGTAGCTACGTTTACAACAACAGTACTTGCAACACTCCCAGTCTCACTACCATGACTCTTCCCAACTCCCTACTCACGACTCCATACACGTGCTTCGGCTGCAAGACGAGTACCTACAACTGGTTTTTGCAATGTTTATGTGATGATATCCGCAATCATTTTTTCCCAATTTTCTTTTGTATAGAAAAGGGGGGGGGAAACCAACACAGTACCACACTCTGACAAGTCTTTTTTTTTTTTTTTTTTTTCCACTCTATCGATATCCCTTTCCCAACTTCCATGACCACGACTTCCAACAATAACCAGGCGAGGCATACAAAACCTGATTGCATGTTTGTCCAAAACCCTTTTCTATCCTGCCCAATAGGACTGTGAGGTGTGCCCCTGCCACTGTGCCCTGCTTCCATTATCCCCTTGATCCTTTGTGTGTGTATATTGGTCTCACTTGACTACTCACCAGCACATGCACAAAAGGCATAAAATATGACGGTGCATCTCTCTATGTTCTAGCAGAAGATTCTTTCTCATTTTGAACGCTCGGTGAGTAATGGAGTAAAGGCCATAATGCCCAACTGTTCTCTCTTCTGCACTCGAAACCTTTGTCGGATTCACCTTCCGTCACCATGCAGCTATAAGCGTGACAATTACGGCCTCATCCCACCCTACTTACGGCAAGTAAATTAACGATTTTCGGAGATCCCACCTCATTCATTGAACCCCCGAGGCTTCGGTGCTGAATGGAGGGATGTGGAAACAGTGGCATTCGTGGAGTGAACATCGTGAGCTTTCTTTTGCCCTTTCCGGAAAAGAAACTGGTTTGTAGTACTTTGTACCCTATTCCCAAAAAGACGTCTTTTTCTTTTTTGTCCGTTTTTAGGCCTGGTTCGTCTGCGGTCTCATATTTCGGGTGGCACGGGTTCGGGCCCACACATGTCGGTTGGAAATTGGGAACCAGTCCCAAGTTCATAGTCCGCCCAGCAAAGGCCACGGCCGCCACCCAACCAGTCCCAAGTTCATAGTCCGCCCAGCAAAGCAAAGGCCACCGCCGCCACCCACGTAATATCTCCTGCAATCACGGACTGGTGGAGTACAAATTTTCTTTCTTTCGTGGTTCGAATGCTGCGGCCCCTTCTTTTTTCGCTTCTTTTTGACTTACCATAAGTAGGGTGGGATGAGGCCCTTGATAAGATAGATATTTCACAAATATATACATGGTTTTTTTTAGAATAGCTTTCCTAAAGTCGTGCCAGTATACAAAAGCCCCGGTTTTCAGAAATTAACGGGCCAGTACAGGAGCGCCCAAATTCATCCCACGATTTTAGGAAACCTAGGGGCCACTCCGGGAGCGCCCAAAAAAAAATCATCCAACAAGAAACGTTTTTTCTACTCTCATTTCTTTCCGCTATCTTTTTCTGCGGCCGATAGCTTGGCCAAGTCCTGGTGGCTTAACCGTACCTTGCTGGTGCTTTGTATTTATCCTACTACAAGAACTCGAGCGGCTCCTCGTGTTTACTACGCCGTACTGGCAGACCCTGTTCTGGTGCTTCATCTTAGCATCCCACATTCAGAACTTGACCGGTAACTCAGCCAGGTTCAATGCAATGGGATGCCGCACCCGGTTTGCATCAGGTGATGCTCAACCACCAATACACTAGAGCCGACAGCAGAAGGTTGCTATCGAGGGACACAACATCCACCCCCAATAGCAGCCCTAAACGCCGTTTTTTTCCGACAACACCCCCACACACACACACAAACACACACACACACACACACACACACCAAAAAAAAAAAAAAAAAAAAAAAAAAGGAGGGGGGGGAAGTACGTTGGAGTCATACCCTATGTTCAGTGTAGGCAACTTTAGCAATAATTCCAAAAATGGAGCAAAAAAGGCGACCCCCCTAAATCTGCCAAGCGCCACTGCAGGTAATGAATAACTGGCGCAGTTTTAGACCCCCACTAAATTAAAACTTGCACATTTGAAACTCACACCATGAGACCGGTGCCACTTTTTGTCTTTTCTTGCCTACTTCGAAGTCCAAACTAAAAGTGTGCCACTGCCACAGTTCCTCCTCTCCTCCCCCTGCCCACCACCCACCCACCCAAAAAAAAAGAAGTATTTGACAACACGGGGCTAGGTCCCACTTGCACGAATTAAGAGATACTGACCGTAGATAGCAAAGATCAACGGCCCAAATCTCCTGATTTGCGCAAATGGGACCTTGCCCACGGATACAGGACCTATGGATGTGCTGCCCACCTGCAGCTGCGTCGCAAAGCTACACCTAAATGGGTTGAAGCGTTTCTCTCACGTTTTTTCCACTCTTAAAGCTCCTTCCTTCTGTTAAATTCCAGTCATCAAAGATGTACTCACATGTCTACGTAAAAACCTAGACTCCCATCCATTTGCAATGCAATGAGCACGTTTCGTATAATAAAAAAAAGAAGAAAAAAGCCCCACGAAATGGACTGGATAGTTTACATAGGACAAGTGGACCCCGCCACGCACAGCAACACTCGCTGATCTCTCTCTCTCTCTCTCTCTCTCTCTCTCTCTCTCTCTCTCTCTCTCTCTCTCTCTCTCTCTCTCTCTNCTCAAACACTCTCTCTCTCTCTCTCTCTCTCTCTCTCTCTCTCTCTCTCTCTCTCTCACACACACACACACACACACACACACACACACACAGTTCGCACCAGCACTTCTGCAACTTCGAAGTAAGTTCACTCCACCTACAACCAGGATACTTACACCTACCGTCTTCACCTGAATAGAACACCCGGTAGTTATTGCTGTATCTGGACTGAAATTTGCACCAAATAGAAGCTATAACGACCAGGTGTTTTATTCAGTTGAAGACAGTAGGAGCCAAGTTGAGATGCCATATCATGCAAGATCCGAGAGCATCTGATGTCTGGGTACCGTGGAAAGAACCTCTGAGTTTGCTTCGAGGGTATGGCCGATACCTCCGACACAATGATTTTACATCATTGTAGTCCTGCAAGATAACACCTGTACCCACCTCATCCACATCATTGCAGAAATCCATCATCATTGTTCAATCAATCATGGTATAAAAACAGCCCACTGGCTCAACGGAAACCTGCCAACGACTATGAAATCCTTCGCAATTCAAACCACAAGCACACGGCCCCAGCCTTGCAGTCCGAAACTCGTCGCCACAAGGAAACGAGGCCAAAACGTCAAACACGTGTCCCGCCGTTGATACATTCGACTGGCACTGGCGCTGGCGCTGGCGTTTTCGTTTCCTTTCGCGCCTGCAGAATTTGAGGTGTCAGGCCCGCGGTCCAGGTGCCTATGTACTGGTGCTTCAAGGGCATATACTCACACTAGAGGGTTTTTTACTTCTTTTCTGAACGTAATTGTGGTCAAATACTTCCAGATCAGGCCGCAATTGCGGGGAGATACATATAAAATAGCGCTAGAGTGAGTACGCCCCTACGACTCCGTATTTGTGAAGGCATGCAGGAAGACTGATGACATCAACTCGAAATGCAACTTGAGAGTCGGCATCCAGAAAGGCTGCAGAACCAACTCTGAGGCCATTACCTCCAATGTGAACGGGACGTGTAGACATGTAGACGTCTAATATCAACCACACAAGAAGACATCCATCTCCCAATTCAAAGACAGGAGGGCTTTCTCACCACCTTAGGTAACTACATCAGATAGCGTCTCTCAGTCACAGTCAGATGAAGAGTTCCCTTTTATGCACTCGCAAAGAGTCGCGAGTCGACTAGCTTAGCTAGTCAGCTCAAGCAGCACACACAATCCGCTTCTGTCAAATTCACAAAATTGAGTTTTGTACTATAGGACAGAATCACTGCCTTGACCAGATGAGCGGTAGTATTATTGCGTACTAAGAATAGATCGGGCATTCCAGTGTGGCACCGTCGAGCCATGCATCACTTTTATGAAATACCATTGGCAGTGTCGGTACTATTGGACAGAATTAAAGTCACAGAACCATTGCACCGACAGATTGCTACATCAGATGTAGAGCCATGAGTTATTTATAGCCTCGTTAGATGTAAAGCCATGATTCAGTAACATGTGCCTCTGCTGCCAACAGTCTGGCCAAAGATGAAACCCTGCAGACTGCAGTCGCCTTCCTGGTGCTGTACGATCAGAGATGAACTCCAGAAATCATCCCCTTAGTACACGGTGAACTTGAAAACCTGCACCCCCCCTCCCTTTTCCCCTCCTCCCCTCTCTCTTGATCTTCCACTAATGCCCAGGGTACCCAGTCCGAAGGGAGTGGGTAATATTTATTACTTACTAAAGTAAAGAAACAAAACCTTGGTAAAGTGAATAAAATGACGACTACTACCATCCCAAGATCCGCAGCCGAACCCACTTCACCTCGGCTCACGCTCCAGGCTTTGCAGCAGGCCCCGTGCGAGCGCCCTCCTCGTCGTGGCATTGAAGACCAGAAAAAAAAAAAAAGGGTGGCCACTTCTCACAGGATACTTCCGACAAGTTTCATCGCCAATCCATCTTCAACTCAGCACTTCGGAAAGTGAATGGCCCGGGCCTGCTGTTCGAAGATAACAGCACGCAACTCTGACAAGCCCAGTTAGCGCTCGATCATTGCCAAAGTGACCAGGTGCTGATAACACACAACACAATCCTTGCCGCATAAAGAGACCACATGGATCAAGACGGAGTTCTTCCGGGCCACAGGTTCTTCCGTAGAAGCTGCACAACAGAGTTGGAGTGGCAAATGGCCATCGCTACCTTCTCCCACACCGCCACGCGATTTCTCAGATTCCGATTATAATGCGGCAGATTGACAATAAAAAAAGGGCCAAACTCTTCTTCTGAGGTTGTAGACATTTTATTACAGTTCCAACTTCCAACTCATTACAGGGGTGGTTGAAGAACTGGGGCACCAAAGTGCCAACCGTAAATGCCAAATAGACTTCAACTCCAATCGGTACCTCAGAACATACCGAATATAGAAAATATTGAGTGCGTCAAGCACTGTGGCAGGCCCATTACGAGGAGGAGCCACGATTCTATAATTAGTACAGAATCAGTCATGACAGTGCGCAGCACGACTTCACCCTCAAGACACAACGCTGGGCCTCCTCCTGACCTTAAACCCAAGCTTAATCTCTGTGGGCCAAATTCATCAGATGCCTCTTCGTTTAGGCTGCTCCCCCCTCGCCACATGAAAAGTTTGGGCTACCTATGCTTCCCCTTCTCTTGAGTCCTCGCCATACCTACGCTTGCCCTTCTTGGGTCCCCACCATGCATATGGTTACCTTTCCTGTGTCCTTGCCACGTGTGCAGTTCACAGCTCCGGAGGCGCTCCACACAGCCGCTCCACACCGCCGCTCCACACCGCCGCTCCACACAGCCGCTCCACACAGCTTCTCCACACAGCTTCTCCACACAGCCGCTCCACACAGCCGCTCCACACAGCCGCTCCACACAGCCGCTCCACACAGCCGCTCCACACAGCCGCTCCACACAGCNCCGCTCCACACAGCCGCTCCACACAGCCGCTCCACACAGCCGCTCCACACAGCCGCTCCACACAGCTGCTCCACACAGCCGCTCCACACAGCCGCTCCACACAGCGGCTTCAGACATTGCCCTTCTACTTCAGTCCCTGCCACACGTTCCTTCTCAATTGTTCGAGAACTAATTGCTCAAACGACTCAAGAATCCCAGATTGAGCTACGCAAAGGGTCATCCACCCCAAGTGCTCCACCATCGTCTCAACGCAACACCACAACTCACCTGTGCGTAATAGTAGGACAGGACTTATGGAAGGCGGTCGCATTTCAATTAACAAATTGTGAGTTCAGTAAACTCTGCATCCTGACAGGATTTCGTTCATCGAACTTGACTACAAGTGTGTCTCACCCGGTGCAACACTGGAGTTATGTACCGGCGCAACAATTACAAATATATTATATAACAAATATATGGGCATGATCGAGGAACAGCCCGTGCCGGTAAATCTCATCAGGTGCTAAGTTCACACACCATCTTTCATGCTCGTCCTCCATGACTACGTTTTGTGTCAACTTTTGGTCGTTCGACGTTTTGACCATTGTGCCTCCTTTGACTGGCTTGCCGTTCAAGTTTCTGCCACATCATGACCATCGTCATCGACTATCATTCCTCGCTCATCCGACCTTTTCCCATCATTAATATTATCGTTCCGCTTACCAGTCATCTTATCATCAGGCTAAATTCCCATTTAGTTTGATTCTTAGCTCTCGTCCGTATGAATTTTGTTGATTGTTAGGATCGTCTCATTATCATGATTTTGTTCATCATGCCCCATAGCGTCACCATTATAATCATGACGTTCCAGTCCCGTTTCTATGCACATTCTTTTCCCGTTCTGCCCTCTTAGGATTCAGTTCTGTTGGCAATCAGTCGGTTATTATCTCAATCCCCGAGCCGACCACCATTATTGCAATCAGTGCTGCTATTTCAAGCTGATCCCATCACTAGCAACACATACTAACCAGAGAGCACCTGCTCATCAATATAGGACACCGATAGGACACTTCTATCGTATCTTCTATTTGCCAGTTAGGTTGGAGGATGGATTTAGAGGGAGGATTTCAAACTGGTACAAGAGAGGCAACAGCAGTCTGGGACTTCAAAAAAATTCAGGCAAAGGAGACAGAAGTGGAATGGAAGTACAACAAGCAGTGTCCCCAAAGTGATGGGACAGGAACATGACCGTCAATTGGTAGGCAGGTAGGATAATCAGGAGGGAGTTAGTGGTTTGAAAAGAAGACAACGCGATCGGGAATCGGTGCCTCGGGTTCTCGTTTGGCACTGTCGACAGTCCGACTTTACGTTGACTCGCCCTTGTCGCCATTGTTGGCACTGGAGATGGGCCTTGGAGAAGGTCTAGCACTTCCGGTACCCCTTGGCGAGCCAGTAGGTGGTTTCTCCTTGAGCAAACAGTACGTTCCCTTCTCCTTGAAGAGCTGTGTCATGTGATGCATGCAATATAACCGCCCCTCAAATGCCGTGTAATTGGAAGGCGTGATCGTGCAGCCACCATGAGCACAACGGAAACATCTCTTGTGATAGTCCACTTCGTCCACTCTCACCTGATCTCACACACACAGACAAACCACGCACACAAGTATTCAGCAAACGCAGCTCTCTCTCTCTCTCTCTCTCTCTCTCTCTCTCTCTCTCTCTC